AACACTCACTTCATTCTCAAACATACACAGGAGTGACCTGGCCAAGCCCGGGGTCTTGCATCATCCCTTTGACAGTTGCCCTCGTTAGTAGCACCCCCACCTCCTTAACCAGGAACAGAGCAAGAACTGCTCCACTGCCCACCCCGTACCAGCCCCAGACAAAGTGATTCCCTTCCACTCCAAACAGCGTCAGTCTAACCTGGACAGCTGGAGATCCTTTTCTATTTAAAAAAAACCCCAACAAACCTCATGTGTTATCCTGGCTTACACAACCTGTCAAGGAACCACCGTTCATCTAATTAACAACGTTCTCAACTTTCTGCCCAGCTTCTAAAACCCAACCCAGGCTGTGTCCTTCTGCAGGGCTCCATCCTCCCTTCCCCAGCTGACTTCTCTCCCCTCACCTAGGCTGAAGCTTCAGGCTGAACACTTGGGACTAAGGATGAGATTAACCATAAACCAAGTCTAAGAAACTCCTGATAGCAGCAGACGCTGGCACAGGCCCTCAGGTCCAATCTGGAGACAACAGGGAGATTTAAATTAACTTTGCAGCAGTTGGGCAGCAGAAAGCAGCTGGCTCCTTGTTCTGCCTTGGACTATGAAGCCTCGTTAGATAAGAGAGCCAGCATGCCCGGAGGGAAACGTGGACTCAAAGTCTACAGGAGGAGTAAGTGTGTCTGGTCAATCTTTTCCCAGAAGTCGTGCTGCTCATCGCTGGCACCGCAGAGAGGTTCAAAGCTTAAAATAGCTCAAAGGTCCACGCCTGGGGTGTCCAGGGGGCTAATCCCTGTCCTTGGCGGGTGCTGTTCACCTCAGTGCCCCAGCCCCGCGGTGTTGGAAGGGAGTTTTGACCTAGAGGTCACAAAGTGAGTCCCGTAACACTGTTGAAATTTTTTGGTCCTGCTGTAACGTACTTATTGCCTGGCAAGTACCCAGACAGCAAACAACCCCTTGGTGTAGTAATGCTGAGACCAGCCAAAAAACCACAGCGTGCAACACATTGAGAAAAGAAAAAAAAACCCAACCAACAAAACCCAACAAAACCCCAAAGTTACTGCATCCCGAACACCTGAGCTCAGCTGCAGCCTGTTCCTTCAGCCACCATCCTCCTCAACTGCCCTTTGCCCTTGGAAGGGGAATTAGTCTCCCTTTTTTCATTAGTCTCCCCTTCAAGCAAACAGGCTCCAAACTGCTTAGAAAAACCGTTTCAGCAGAAGTTCACCTCATCTCTGCAGCTGCTTCCATACAACGGAAGACTCCAACGAGAGAGGGACACTCCAAAGCGAGAGGTTACAGATTTGACATCTCCAGAGGAGATTATTCAGTCATTTCTGGACACAGGGGCCTCCCTGCACAAACCACCGTCCTGGCACGCGCGTCCCTGAGCAGCAGACGCCTTGTGAGTGCAGGAGAGCAAGAGATGAAAAATCTCAACTCCAGCTAAACAGTTCTGTGCAATCTGAGACGTTGTAAAGTGACCAACAAAATGGGACAGGGGTGAGGACATGGCTTCTGCTGGGCTGTGTCACCAGAACCAGCCTGTCCAAGGCCTTCACGACACGGTAACAAACCAAGGACCTGGACATTCCCACCCACGTGAAACAAAGCATCTGTCAGCACAACCAGATCATCGCTTCAGGCTACTGCCTGCTAAAAGAGGGGACTTCAAAACACCAGACGGACTTCAAAAGCAGCCCAACGCCACGGGCTGTCCCCATGTCCCACAAATCAGGCTGGGGTTAAATCTGTCCCAAGCGCATGGCTGGGTGATCTGCCTGCCTGACCCTGTGCAAGGAGAGCAGCTCCTGGTGTGCAGAACCACCTTCACCACTGGTGCAGTCCCACCTGGTGTTCAAGGAAGGAAGTAATTGATGCGCTGGGATACAGATTTACAGCCCTGTGCAGAGAAAAGCTTCTCCTCTCTGGGGACAAATACCATCGTCCTGGCCACCTCGTCGAGGGCTGCCTCGGTGTACGGAAGTCCACGGGCCAGGAAAGCATCCCGCGCGCAGAGCTTCACGTGGTGGTACTCCAGGGGCAGGAACGGCACGAAGAAATCGATGAGGTTCTCTTCCAGGAGGTGGCTGCGGGCATAACCGTTCTCTGCAGCAAAAAGCAAGACGAAACAAACTTCAGAAGCTTCACATGGGAGCTGGTGTCCCTCTGCGAGGCAAGGCTCGTCTCTCCTGGGAGGGCTGTCTTGGCTCATCCAGCAAGAGCTGGGCAGCACTTAGGCCGAGCACAGAATGTCACTGCAACTTGCCCACCTTGGGCCAAGAGAAGCCGGAATCCCCAGAGGAGCCTTGATACCTCCCTACGGTGCCAGGCTGCCTCTCACAACCTGGCCATTTTTAGGGCTGAAGGCCAGAAGGACTGGCAGCCCCCTCCTCGTGTGCCTGGCTGCTGCAGCGGCGCTGCGGGGCTGTGCCCGTGCAGATGAAGTTGCAAATAACCCCGGGTGAGGGTTGGAACAAATGCTTGTTCCACAGCACACGCAGTTGTGCAGCACAAGGTGGATGGGACAGTGTTCACAAAGCCCCACGCTGGTGTGGAGGGGCAGGTTTGAGGACAGCCTGCCCACAGCATCCCACACGTGAGCCCAGCTCTTACCTGCAGGTTCCTGCAGCTCCCGCCACAGCCGCTGCTCCAGGAACTCCACGGAGATCTCCTCCCGCGCCCGGCCGGCTCGCCAGAAATCCAGCGTCACCTCATTGATGGTGTTGCCACCAAGATTGCTGCAGACAGAAAGGAAGTCACTAAGCTGTGCCCTCAGAGATGAACTGCTGAGAGCTGCCAGCAGCCTCCCCTGCAGACAGGCCTCAGCAATGAAGGATTTGCTGTGCGGGATCAGCATCGGAAACGCTTGCAGAGGAACCGGCTTTCTTCCCAAAGAGCCCCTCTCTGTAGACATCTACACAGCCACCTTCCATCTCGCCAGCCCAGACCCTGGGGCAGCTGCTTTCTCTCCCAGGGCCAGCAGAATCCTTCATCTCCATCAGTCCCCTGTCCTGGTTTGGATGCCATTGACCTCACGGGTGACACTTGGCCCCACACCAAACTCTCAACAAGCCACCCCTGAAAGTCCAAGTTGGAGGGCAGAGCACGTGGCAGGAGTCCCACTAGAAGTAAAGGTCCAGGGCAGGGGTTCAAGCAGCAGCTCAGGACTTGGCAAAGCATCCCCTGCCCGAGGGACAAAGCGAGGTCCCCACGTGAGGACACCCACCGTGGGGGCAGCTCTGTGGTGGGGGACACGAGGTCCTGGCAGTCACCGAGGCTCCTGGGGCAGCCCCTCACCTTGGAAAGCAGGTCAAGGCCAGGCAGCCCCCACATGCTGGTGAGGGGTTTGCAACAGCCTCAGACAACAGCCCCCAGCCCCGAGTGCCCCGCCACCAGTGAGCTGGGAATACTGGGAACCAGCTGGCTGCAGGCCAGGGAGATGGGAGGCAGAGAGGCACTGGGAGACACATCTTGCACCATCTCTTCTCCTGTGTCAGAGGCTCCGGACCCATTCCCCAAATGGAGGGGAGGGAAAATTAAACTGCCTTAGAGGGGGGAAGCAGCTTGTACTGATCCTGCTCTCACCCAGACCACAGGAGAAACAGCCCCTGTTGACTGAGGACAGCCAGCCAGCCCCACCTCATCTCCATCACCCCAACCTGGCCAAAGCTGCAGGACCAGGCCAGAGTCCAAAGGAGCCCTGGGGCAGAGCCAGCCCTCCTACCACAGGTCTGTGTCACACTGCCATGGGCAATGATGAAACCACCCAGGGTTACAGCTGCTGCTGTTCAGGGCACCCTGCTCCCCTCTGCTTGGTGGCACAAAGGGGCTGGCGTGTCCTCCCAGCACCTGCATGGCTTGCCAGGTAGGCCACGAGGTCAGCTCAGCACAGCTGGCAGCACATCCACCCTGCCCTGAGCAACAAGGGAGGATCAAGGGAGGATCACCGTGGCTCCTGCTGGAGGCCCACGCTGGTGGGACTGAAACATGGTCAGCTTCACAAACACCTGACACAGGTACCGGTCTTCTGTGGGCAGAGAAACTTCCCTGGGGACCCACCAAGCTCAGAGATGAGAGCACTCGCCTGGATGGTGAGAGATGGAGAACAATGCTCTGCCCACCTCCAGCCGGTGGGAACAGCTCTTGCCAGAGCCAAGCTGAAGGCTGTAAATCCTCAATTGAAGGGGACCTGAAATGCTCATCTCTCCTTGGCGCTTCTCACTGGCTACTTCAGGTATGAGCCTACCTTACATTTTGGTTTTGAGATGTCCAACTTCTCCCAGATGCATCCCGGGGTCAGGGACAGCACCAGGGTGTGCACATGCCAAAAACCTTTCTCCTTCTGGGTGGGAAAGGAACTAACATCTGATCACTAACTCCCAGGGTGAGCTGATGCCAGGACCTGCCGATGCCAGGACCAGCCGATGCCAGGAACTCCCCACCTCCCACTCCCAACTAACGGTGCCACATTGTACAAGAACTTCCCACCAAGACCTGCAGCCCCAGCTTTGCTCCCTGGAGTATGGGATCTCCCTGCTCAGCTGTCCAGGGTGACACTGTGCCAGCTCTGACTGACTGGTTCCTTGCCTCAAAGCCTGGACACTGGCTCATGTGTCTCAGCTAAGCGGGACCTCAGCTCCTCCTGCAAATGCCCCGTACCCAGGGAGATGCCCAGCATCAATAAGCAAAACTGATCACGGAGCCAACCACCTCTTGGAGGAGCTGGACATCTCTTTGCCCTCCTTGGCAGCCTGAGCCCCTCATATCACACACCTCAGGGGATAAATTCCATCACTTCTTCCTCACCTGAGGAAGAGGAAGATGGATCTCCGGTAATCCACCTGGTCCCTGTTGTCATAGCGAGCCATGAAAGGCTTGATGGCATCCAGGAGGCTGAAGTGAAGTTTCTCTGCCTCATCGAAGATGAAGAGGGACTGCTTGCAGAGCTGCACAGTCTCGGTTAGCTGCTTCTTCAGCTGATCCTGCAGAGCAGCGGGGAGGAGGGTGAGAAGCCCAGCAGCGGTCACTACCACCAGATCATCATGCAGGAGCTGAGCCTGGATGCGGTGGGTTAACCCTGGCTGGCACCAAAGCACCGCACAGCCACTTGCTCATTCCCTCCCACGCCATGGGACAAGGCAGAGCAAAAAGAAGAACAAAACCAAGTAAATGTGTGGGTCAAGATAAGCAAAGGAAAGAGGAAGAAGAGAGAAAGAAATCAAAGCAAGTGATGCAAAGACAATCACTCACACCTACCACTGATGCCCAGCCAGTCTCTGAGCCATGGCTTCCTACCCCAAAACTCCCTCCCCTCAGTTTTTATTGCTGAGCACGCCATTAAATGCCATGGAACATCCCTTTGGTCAGCTGGGCTCAGCTGTCTGGTGCGTGTTCCCTCCCAGCTTCTTGTGCACCCCAACCTACTGACTGTGGGGGCAGAGTGGGAGAAAGAGAAAGCGGCTGTGGGAGCACTGTGTGCTGTCACCACTGTTCTACTCACACATCCAAAACACAGCACCCTGTGGGCTGCTGTGAAGAAAATGAAGTCCACCCCAGCCAGACCCAGTACACTGGCCCATCCCCACAGCAACACCATGGTCTTGGCTCTCACCTTGTACGAGTCCACGTACTTGTGATGGGGGAAGTGGAAGAGCGAGATGAACACCCTGACACACTCGCTCTTCGGTCCGTCCCGGTACAGGTGACTTGCCAGCATCCGGGCCACAAAGTTCTTGCCTGTGCCGGACCAGCCATGGAAGGAGAGGACCAGAGCCTTCTCTGGCCGCGGGCTCTGCAGGAACTCTTGCACCGCTCGGATGACAACTTCTTTAGCCAAGTGCTGCCCGTGGAGCTGCCCATTGAGGTCTGCCTCCAGCCCTGCAGGGAAGAGAACAAGAGCTCAGCTGTAACTCACAAGCCCAGCTGCTGCTGCAGGTGGGAATAAGAGGAGAAAATGTGTCAGGGACTAAGCCCATGTGGCCCGGCCGGTGGGGCTGCCTGTCTGAGAGGAGTCTGAAGTGGGCTGATGAGGCAGGTTGCCTGTACCCTGCCTGCACTGGCCACTGGCTGCACAAACACAGATCTTCTACCAACTCCTTTTTCCCTCTGGGAAGTGGAGGAGGTGTTTGATGACTGTGGAGAGTGCTGAAGCCCAAGAAACCCTCATGAGGTCCCAGCAGAGGGTAGGGAGCAGAAGTCTCAGGGCCAGAAAAACGCAGTGACACCTGCATGGGGCTTACACACAGGTCTCAGTGCACCCTCCCCATCTGGGGCTGGATACTGGGCCAGTTTGGGTCCCACTGCATATGCCTGGGAGCTACTGGGTGAAGGCAGAGCTCATGGCAAGCCAGAGCAGACAGGCTGTACATAAGGAGCAAACTCCATTGCAGTCTCAGAACTACAAAGGAATAACTGGAAACAGGACTTAGCTCAGCCCCTCGCCCTCCCACCAGCTTAGCAATGCCCTTTGCTTACACCATTTGCCAAAATACACTTTTTAAAACAGAAAAAAACCCACAACCAACCAACAAAAGAGACAACAGGGAGAGGCAGCAGAGACAAGGGGTGTCCCAAGCACAGCACCTACCTGTGATATTGTTGACCACCCTGCAGTCTCCTGTCTCGCAGCACTTGCCGAAGCTGCAGTACCAGGTAGAGAGGATCTCCAGTTAATCGTTGCCCACCAGAGGCAAACTCCAGCCTGCAAAAAGCAGCGATCTGAGCAGACACATGCCCGCAAGCATCTGTTTTGTGTGGACACTCAGCTGTTCCTGGTGAAGGGCAGCCCTCCTCCCAGGCAGGGGATCAGACACTGCCCTGGCAGGCAGCCCAGCTGTGGGGAGGGGAATAGGCACATAGTGGGGAGCAGCTGGCTCAGGGGGGCACGGAGAGGGGTGTTTGTGGCAAGTGGGGGTATGCCGAGGGGTGAGGGAGATGCCCAGGGCAGTGACCCCAGGGAGGGAAGGAACAGCATCCACTGCAGCTGGGGCACAGACCCCTGTGTGGGGGAATTGGGGTGTTTAAACCCCAGGCATGGGAATGGGAGAGGAAGGAGGA